CGGTAGGGACACTGTACGAGTGGCGCAAGGATGACGCAAGGGGATGCATTTCATGCGACCGAAAATAGGAAAAAAAAGTCTGCTTCGATGTGATAAAGAAAACTGAACAATAACAAGGGTTTTGTCAGAATAATATCATCGTCTTGTAAGAAATCACGTGTATTTAGGATGAGTGGTATTTCCGAAATTTTTATATAATACAGTATAATTACAGTACGGAAATTCCACTCGAAAACAATCTGCCGGGTAACACTGCCCTTGCGATCTAAGATAGCAACTGAAACTTTACCAGTTATAGATTAATTTAATAAATATTATCAAATAGAAATTATTTTACTATAAAAGGGCACAATTACATCTTTGATGGATGTCTACCACATCTCATTTTTGACCAGTTCGTCGATTGTCGATCGTCTCATTGTTTCCTTAATTAAATAATTGATTTGTCAGCACATGGTTTGTATAAAAAGGGGATATACGGACTCGAATTTAACCTAAAAGGCTCTGATGAGCACCAACTTACAGGCTAATTCGCCACTTGATGGCCGAAACAAAGAACAAAATTTTCAAAATTTGCTGCAGGCATGCCGGGCCGGCGACCTTGAAAGGGTAGAAAGGTTGAAATTTTCATCGCATATATAACAGCTTTTTTTTATCTTCAATATTATCTTCAATATTTGCTTACACCTTCATCTACCCTTCCGTCACCAGTTTAGTGAGAAATTTTTCTACTCCAATCAATCGGAGTGATGTTTGGCAATGCTCACCTTTATATCTGGCTTGCTTGTGGTATATTATTCGACTTCTTATCAGATAATTAAAAAAAATATATACATATATCGAAATCTCATGATATTAACGAATCTTTTCCTTTAATTAAAGTGGACATTATGAAGGTGAACCGTCGTCTTATTTATTTATTTATTTATTTATTTTTGTTCCTTTCTTTCTTGGTCTTTTCTGTTAATTCTTTCTTTTTTTCACATCGTAATGCTCACTAGTGGTAAAGTTTTTACTAGAGAGTGGTGCTCGATGTGAACAAGACACCTTCGAAGGCGCACGGTTCGTTCAATTTTTGGATGGATGGGTTTTTAAAAAGCATTTTGTTTCTAACTTTGTCACCTTTGTTCAATTGTAGTTGTCTTTATGGTGCATTAACAGAGGGAATAAGGGAACTGTTGCTTAGTCACGAATTTACAAAGGCCGTTGATGAAACCCAACCATATCGGCACTTTTTGGGTCAATTGTTCGAAAAACCTTTGGATTCATTTTGCGACGTAGTTTTTAAACTGGTTTCCAATAATAACTTTGAAACTTTTGAATTCGCGGCGCATCGATGCATTCTTTGTGCACGCTCGAAATATTTTGCCAAAAGATTCGAAACCACCTGGCTTACATCCAAAATTATAACGATTCATCGAAATCCTCTGTGTTTTCGAGAGATCCTGAGATATTTGTATACTGGAGAAATTGGAGAAATACAGGAAGAATACATTATGGAAATTTTGGAACTATGTTACGAATTTGATTTAGATATATCGGAAGAGTATCTTAATAAGTCTTCACCTAAAAGGGCACAAGAGCGTGAAAAGTTAGAGATTCAGCGATTGCAACAGGATTTAGAACATTTTTGTAAAACTCGTGTCATCCGTGACAAGCGATATTCCAGCGAAGATCAAGTAGCGGAAAATTCATTGAGTGCACAAGAATTAGCGCAAGCAGATCTTATCATTAATGTTGGAAATCGAACGTTCCCTTGTCACCGAGCATTTCTTACCAGGCGTTCCGATTATTTTAAAGCCATGTTTACGGGTTCATTTTCCGAATCTATTTTTCACCATCAGCAGGACAACAAAAATTTGCCGGTATTCCAATTATCAGGTTGTACTCCAGAAGTCTTTAGTTTAATCCTTGAATTCATTTATACCGACAAATGTGAGGTTCCCCCTTCGATCTCTTATGATGTGCTCGTGTCGGCCGACATGTATTTGTTGGATAAGTTAAAATCCATCGCATCCATAGCTCTCACCAATCTCAAGGAACCAACCAAAGATATATACACATTAATGCGAACGGCGTTGGACCTCGGTGTTGAACGATTAGAATCATGGTGTTCACATTGGTTCGCCGACCACATCAATGAAGTGCTAGAAGATCCTCAATTCCTAGAATTGGTCGAGGAGTCAGCGGCAAGTATTAAACAACGTCAAGAGACGGACACTATACCATTGATAGATGAGATTAGGTATTGGTTGTCTAAAAAGTATTGTGTATTTGAGGAGGATGTTGATAAGAAAAGTGGAAGAGTGGTGGAACATGAAGGGGAAGAGATTTTGTCGTGGGAAGAAGAGTATAATAAAATTTTGGAACGAATTGATCAGGCATTAGAGAAATTAAAATTAGATGCCTGAAAAAAAAAAAAATTATTCTCAAAAGAAAAACCATACATTATTTTGCGTCGGGAACGAATACAATTTTGATTCGGGGTCAAAAATTTTATTTAATTTTTAATTATTTGTCACATGACATTTATCAAGTGATTAAGAGTGGAAGGTTGATTATCATGAAAATTTTTTTGATCCATTTTTCCGTTATCCAAATGATGAATCCATTGAGGACGTTCGCCAAAACGGCACCTCGTTCTGTAACGACATTTGAGCTTAAATTCTTTCAACCTCTCTCAACCTACTCTGTTCTCATGAAGGAAAGATTTCATTACCTTGATCGTTCACCCTCGGATAATAACAAATCGTGGTCAAAGAATACTCCTTCGCGTTCAACCTCCTTACCTCGAACCAAACGAACTGCGACCCTTGTTCAGGATTCGATTTTCTCGTCAAAGTTTACAGATTCTATTTCCACGGCAACCGAACTTCATAATTATTCTACAACTACGCCTACAACTTTAAAACCTTCGTCTCTAACCAAGATGGCAATTCTTGCCTCTTCAACTCGCACGCGTTTAAATACCAACACTAGAACTCCGCCTGCAAATCATGTAAATAAGATTCCGAAAGGATTCTTTAAAATCACATTACGTCGTTCAACGATTGGAATGCCCAAGAAACTTCGTGCCGTGGTAAAAGCCTTGGGGCTAAAACGTTTGTCGCATACTGTTTATCATGATCAAACACCAATCATCGCCGGCATGATCCTTAAAGTGAAGGAACTTTTAGAGGTAACAAATGTCAAGAGGGTACCTACGCCAGAGGAGAGAAAACATCACGCCGAACCTGGATATGTGATTATTAAAAGATATTGCCCAACCGTACCTTGTGAATAGATGTGAGTATTTTGTTTATTATTTTCGAAGTCAATACACCCGGACAATTAAAAGGCATTCTTTAAGATGTTTTATATATACATTTCTACAAATTTTGTTAAATAAGTGCAAAATCCGAAGAATTAAGAGATTTTATATTTATATGGGTGATTCGAAATTAACATTAATGTTTGCTTGACGCGCAAGTTGAACAATCTTTGACAATTGTACAGATTTTGAAGCTGCATCATCGAGATCATCGACAGAAATTATACGCAGTCCGGAATCTGCTATGAGTTTCCTGGCTGCTTCAACCTCAGTGCCTGACAAACCGATTAAATTTTGTTAGATTTTTTCACGGGATAAAGTCCTCACGCCAAATCACGGATGATCGAAATTACCTTGCAACCGCACGATCACTGGTATCTTCAATGACAAGTGTGTGGCTGCTTGAATGATGCCCTGTGCGATGATGTCACAACGCATGATACCTCCAAAGATGTTAACCAAGATAGCCGTCACTTGAGGATCCGAAGAGATGATTTTAAATGCTTCCGTAACCTGTTCGGCAGTAGCACCACCACCAACATCCAAGAAATTGGCAGGTTCGCCACCATGAAGCTTAATGATATCCATAGTCGACATCGCTAAACCGGCACCATTCACTGTGTAATTAGGGTAATTATAATTAATTAGGTCATGTGAAATTTACGTTTTGGCCAGATTTTCACGTAAAGGACACCGGCAAATTACCCAAACATCCAATTTGACCATCCAAGCCAATATAATTCAAGTGATAATTTGATGCTTTGACCTCACGGGGGTCTTCCTGAGTGGTATCACGTAAAGCGAATACATCCTTTTGGCGAAAATCTGCGTTGTCGTCAAAATTAAGTTTCGCATCCATGCAGAGTACTATGAAAGGAAGATCAAAAAATGGTGATTAGGTGTCATCCGCCCTCTGAATTAAATAAAAAGGACGAGAAAATTCGGAAATTTACCTTCGTATTCAATGGATTCGGCTAATGGATTAATTTCCACCTGTGTACAATCCTTCTCTATAAAAAGTTTGTACAACTTTTGTATAGTGTCAACAGCCTGAAAGGGATACGACGACACATATTTCCTGTTTGTTATTGACACGATCATTTACAAAATTATCCCCATTAAGAAACGTAACTAACATCATCAAGGATCCTTGAAGAAAATCCAAGCTTTTTGGCGAGGGATATAGCATCTTCTTTAGTCAACCCAACATCGATATTAACAGGCAAGGTCTCAATTGCCTCCGGGTTTTCAGCAGCCACACTCTCAATATCAACACCACCTTGAGATGAGGCGACAATAACCGGTCCCTGAGTCTTCCGGTCCTGAAGAATGGCAAAGTAGTACTCACGACGAACAAACTTACGTTCGACAATGTAAACCTATGTTGAAATTTAAAAATTTATTTGAATGAGAAAAAAAAGAAAAGAGTCGAACAAGTCTACAAAGTCCTACCGCATTGCATATTTTTCCAGCTTTTCCTGTTTGTTTTGTTATGAGTTTATGACCCAGCATTTTCTCGGCAAAAGCTTTTGCCTCGCCAGGTCTGATAATTAAAAGAGCTTTCTTTCTTAAAAGTCCCGTAAAATCACGAAAAAAACAAACATTGAAACACTGCTTACGAGTTGACAGTTCTCACACCACCTTTGAACCCATTTTCGAAGGTGCCTTTACCGCGACCCCCGGCGAGCACCTGAGCCTTAATGACGGCATCTTCTTTGCCTTTCATTAGCAGAATCGAATACAATGAATTGGAATGATTTTTAATAAAATACTTTATAGTATCAAACGACCTACCTAGATTCAGCGCTACATCATACGCTTCTTGCGGAGTTTTCGCAACTCCACCCTTAGGTGTTTTTATGCCGTATTTGTTTAAAAGATCCATGGACAAATATTCATGAATTGCAAGGTTTCGCCTTTGTTGACCTTTGAAGAACTATGGAAAGGTCAGGGTAAAAAGAGAATACATCACAATCCATTGAATGACAATTATTCACCATATTTGCCCTTTTGGCGAAACTCTTGGTAATATTGAATGACCGATACATTCTAGAATGCGGAAGTCCGAGTAATTGATAAGAACAGATTGATTTAAGTCATCTATCACTATTTATCAGCCAATAAAAAAACATGTTTTTCACATTGGTCAATCACATGGACATATCAACATATTTCTCATTTTAGGAAATCAATTTATCTCTTATATAGAAGATCGGAATTTATTGACGCACATACCAGAATACATAACCGGGAAACACAAATTATTTCTTATATCGAGTCTAGAGAATTAGGAAAATTTGATACGTAATGCCTCTTATATAGAACCCAAGTTTATTCGTGATAATTTGAAGGCTCACTGAATATTTAGTGAAATATCTGGTCCCGTACGGTTAAAATGCTATCTCGACAATTCATAAATGTACACTTGACCCTCTTCTTCAACATTAGGCAAGCCTTGAAGTGAATTCATCTTAAACTTCTTCTGCAATTTCGCGAAAAATTTTTTTTCTTCCACCACGGTTAATCCCCTCCTTTTATAACCAAGATAAATTTTAGTGCGCCCGGGTGTGCAGACTGTGACGAAAGTCTGAATCAAAGAATCAAAAAAGTCTAGATAAAAGAAAAGAAATAATAAGTTCGAGGTTGTAGATGATGAGTGTGTAAAAGGATTGCTTTAGAATACCCTACCAGGTTCATAAACTACGTCTGATGCGATAACGTAATCAATAACACCGAGATTCTTCGCTTTTGACCGATCACCCCATTTCAAAGATTTAATTTCGATGATCACTTCGTCGTTTGACTCAAAGAGTTTCTTATTAAGCGTATAATTAGCACGAATAAGATTCAGTGCATGTTCCAAATCGGTTAAAATCACGTTAGTTTTGAACTTATGTTCTGAATTTCCTGATCTGGACAAGCCGGCTACTAGGGAAGCCAAGTAAAGCCCAGCAAATCCTGTTCCGGTAGATAAATCCAAAATCCTTTTGCCGCGGAATATCCCGGGGTCCTGGAAAATTCTATCCTTGAACATTTGAACCACAATAAATGCTGAATCCCAAACTTTCCCGGGAATACCAACATCCCATAACTCCTTGATGAGTAGATACTTCTCATTGGGTAGAATAAAGCCGCGGTAATTGTGAACTAAATAATTATCCATGCCCCATGAACATTTCGTTTTGCGAGAAGTCTCTTGCGAAGAATGAAATTTGAAATCTTGCAAAGTTGATTCATCACCGGGTGACGTGGGATCAGGTGTTGACAAATAATTATTTCCGTTAGCCAATTTATGATTGATGCAGGAAGTAAAATGCGAATTGCAATTCACTATATGAATCGGTCCAACAACAAGTGGAACAAGACTCAGCTCGCGTTCATTTTCATCGCATCCGCCGTGAGTGAATCCATTTTCCTGGTCCACCATCTTCATGATAGGGTAAATATATAAAAATCTCTTTTGACCAAGAGAACTGGAAAGTGCCTTACTATCAACATTCACCACACGAAATTCAAGGCCACCTTTCCCTCCAGCCTGTACACCAGCCCATTCGGTGACATCCAAACCGCTCCACTCGCACGATTCTACGCTCATGGGTCTTACTTCGACTTTCAAATTTACTTTTTGATCATCGCCATCCATATTTAATAATTTTATCTCGAGGGCATAGCCCTTGATACCTTGCATATCCTCCTTTTTGAAAAGGCCCATTTCACTGCTAAACATGAGATCCATGGTATACCACATATTAACGTGCACATGAGGGTGCACAGGACGTCGGAGCAACAAACGGTAATGAAATTTTTTTGTCAGTTCACCAAAAGCGCTTGCGTCATTGTCGATCAGACGGAACGTTTGAGACATATTACTAAGACGCGCAATTTCTTTGTTCACCAATTCGGTGACCCGACGGAGACGATCCAAGACGCATCCCAAATTGATCGTGACCGTGTTATTCCTTGACACGTTAAACAATGGTGCCATACATGGCAAAAGAGAAAAAGTGACCTCCTCTGAAACATTCGCAATGTTTCTCCCACTCTCGATAATCAACGATTTTAAATCTTCCAAATCCTTTTTAGCCTTTTCCCATTTATCGTAAGACTCATGAGCTAGACTCCGAAGCCAGAACGCTAAAATTAAATGGTAATGATTATTCGGTGAAGACCTCAAGACCTCGGTCGTATCGGATAAAACGTGCTCAAATTCGCGAAGTTGTTGAAAACAGATGGCTCGCATTAGGATCAAATGTTCACGCGAATAACCTTGCTCAAAGTCCACTTTTTCCCATGCGGTATTACCCAGTAACAAAGTAAGAAGGTTGATAGTAGTAGTGTAGTCTCCGGCTGCATATGCTCGTTTGATTTCTTCATACTCAGAAGGCTTGTGAGCGTCTTTCCGGTAAGAAGAATTTTGAAGCTTGTGGACTGAAGAGGGTGACATTTTCTAAGTAGACTAAAGTTTGAAAGACAAAACGATGCGTTAAATCAAGTTCGTGTGCGTCATGTTTTATCCTTACGTTTGGCCAATCAAATTTTACGATGTCCAATGATTAATGGTTAAACTATTATGGTGACAATAACAAACATAAATTTTCGATTCGATTGATATTTACCTCTATTAATTAATTTTAAAGCTTTCGGAAAAACTCATTAATATGAAAAAAAGTCCTTATTTGGTGGTTACTTATTAAGATGTAAGCGTTGTTCTGAATTTGGTGCTTCATGTTTACACGAAAACGTCATTATGCTGTTTATGTATAAGCGAATTAAAGAATGTAGTAGCAGAAAAAAAAATCCAACAGGTCACCTTCTAGCACGCTCACGAAGGATGCACAGGGTTATCTCGAGAGAAATCACCTAGACAGATGAAATAAATTGATCTACTATCCGATTTTTTATCGTAGGTGGTGTAACTCTGTTACTATAAATATAAGTGGAACGATTATTGTGAAGAACGAACGAAAGGTGAAACATCATGACAGAAAGTAATAAAAACGGCAATAATGACAATAGTTTTTTTTATTATACGTAAGAATCCAATTGGATATAATAAAATGTGCCACACTCGTGTCACAAGTTGTCACTGTTGCCATAAAAGTTAATAAAAGATACATAAATCAATTTATATATAGTATATTGCATATAATATAGTATAAATTTTAATCAGCCTGCATGTCATTGTGTATTAATATAACTATTTACAAGTTTAATAAAACTTGTAATGAACTGTTATTCGAATTATTATTTAATATATTATAAATTTGTAATTTTAAAAAGTAAAACTATTTTATTTTAAAAAAATAAAATAAAAATAAAATCTGTTTTTTTTTTAATAAATAAAAGCTTTATAAATTAAATTTTTTTTTTTTTTTTTCACCTAATCAGGTTGTAATTACTTGTGTTTATTTAATCTTGTGAAAGAAAACGTAATTGTTTACAGGTACCTATTTACATACATTTATGCATAAACTAATCACTGTTACAGCACACCCGTCAGCAACCAATGGTCTCTAGATGTGATTAAGGGAGAT